AGGAAGCATACAAAGAGGCTTTCATTTTTGAAAGTTAAATTACAGAGAAATAAAAGAAGAGGCTTTTTCAAGCATAGACACAGATTGGAATACTTTTGTGTTAATTAATATTACAAGCTTATGTTTATAGTGGAAAAGTTAATTTGAAAGAAAATTATTCCTCCTGATGCCATTAGCATTGTCAGCGTTCTTCATTCTGTGTCATTCCTGGGGAAGGTTAGGAAGGCAGCAGTAGACAACCTCCATGTGTGGCAATATGGAAGCTTAATTTTAAAAAATTAATTTACCAAAGATATTGTATAAGTGTTTGGAAACTATTACGGCAGTGATGCCTGAGAGAAGAGAGAGAAATCCCTAATGTGGTAGAAGTGCCTGCAGGGAGTATCCGAAGTGCAGGGCTGGGTTCAGCCAGATGACTCACTTCTAACCGAGTACTAGAAGCATTCCCCTTCACTGTTTGCTCTGAAATACATTCTGAGCTATCTGTGTGTACCTTCGACAAAATTCTCTCTGTACACAGGAGCTGTTGTACTCGGGTTTTTGGAACCCGAAAACAAGCTCTTTATTGATGGTGGGGTCAGGACGCTTCTGGGAACGGTGGCTTGTTGGTTACCAGCTACTCCCCAGCCAGAAGGAGGTCGTCTCTGTTTTAATAAGTCGTGCTTTGTTTCTTTTTCTTACTTAAAAAAAAAAAAAAAGACTGCTATACTATTTGCTGTGATATTTCTTTGTGATGGGATTGGTGAACTTCAGAAAAATGTTGAGTAGTATCAGAATTACCGGCAGAAACGTTTCAAGATAGAAGTGTGTACGTGCTGGGTGCCTTCTAAATGGCATCCTCACACTGCTGCTTGAAGAGTCGGTAGTCCTGTGAGTGGTGCTCTCCCTTTCCCATCCAAGTGGGATAAGAAGTTGGCTCTTAAGGTGTTTTGGGCCTTACAACACTTTCTGTTGGTTTTAATTTTTTGTTTGGCAGATTTTGTTTTAGATCGGGGAAGCTGGAAATAAAAACCTCACGTATAAATAGCAGTGAAACAAGCAACTATGCTAACCTCTGCTTTCAGTTACAGTAACATAAACTTGAGAAAGCTTTGCTGATATCTTCTGCGTACAACTGTTGGGTAGAATTTGGCTCATCAGTCAGCTCCTTAATCATTGGATTTTCTAGAGTCTGCAGCTAATTCTGCTCAGCATATGCTATTGGTTTTTTTATGCTATACATTGGTTTGGGAACAATATTGAGATACCAGTGTTCCCAGTCTGAAATTTGAAGCCAGTGTTGAACAGTTTGTTTTTCATTCAGTTTGTATTTGTCACTAAAGAAATACCGAAATGTTGGTAATGATCCTAAAAACTCAAATGAGATTGTTGAATAGTAGTTATGCGTGTTTAAAGTCAGTTCATACTATGTCATGACAAAAAAATACTGAAACTGTAGGGCAGGTGTCTTGTCATTGTACACAAACTTTAAAAGCAGAGTCCACTGGTTTGGGGATGGGGTTGTTAACAGTTTCAGACCAACAAAGTCTTACTTCAGAAAATTTTGTTTGTGCTCTGTGATGCATCTGGAGCTACTGATAGGAAGTGTAACATCAAATAAACTTTGGTATTGAATTTCCTAATCTTAAGGAGTCGTGGTTGTTTCAGACAGGACTATAAGTTCATGGAAGAAAACATGAAAAGAAATTTGTATACCTGTGTATTTTACATTCTTATTTAAAAAGTGCCCTGCTTAAAGGGCAGTAATTACTTTTATTGATCCACACTGACATGTCTTTTGGTGAGTTAGTTAAAATGCATCTCCAAATAATACCAAGAGAAATATGGCTTGTGTGTGTATGCATATGTATATACAAAATATGTATTATTTCACTTAAAAGTAGATAAAAGAGGAAATGTGAACGTCTGCAGATGCCTTGAGAGGTCCTATCTGGTTTTGGATTTGGTAGCGTTTCTCATCTAGGCATTTAAAGGCAAGTCAGCAGCTGGTGTAAAAGACTAAAGATGAAATATAGCCAAAGAGAGAGATGGATTGAAAAAATGAATTAGTTAATAACAGTCTTGTTAAGCTTTGGAAGATTTTAAGACTGGGTCGATAGGTGACATATCCTTTTTGTTCTATTTAAGAAAGATTGATAATCTGACAACATCAAAAGTTATTAGTCATACAAAGCAGATAGAGGGAGGATAGAAATAGTACTTTTTGGGGCCACCTGGGCTTTTTGTCATTGTGTTTGTTTTGTGCTTTTCTTTATATGTAAAGATAGTAAAATCGTCCTTGCTGGGAAATGACTGGCTGTCATATGCAGCGTTTTACCCACTCATGCTGTTTTGAGCTGCACGTTACCACTCCATTGAGGTGTTCAGTTACCCTTACTAAGAAATTTGTATTTATTCTTAAATTTATAAAAGTTGCTCAACAACCTGACAATAGTAACTTGCACTGTAGGACTGACTGGGCTGTTGGAATGTTGACAACATTATTTTAAAATGTTTATAAGAATTAAAAATTGGTTCAAGATAAGCCAATCTAAGATTTGTTAAGAAGAAACTCTGCATAAAAAAGTTAAAACATTCTTTCCTGTTGAAGGCCAGGGAAGTTCTTTGAGGTTACCTGGCGGCTGCACAGCTACCTGCTAAAGGTAAAAAGCCTCCAGAGGGGATGGTCCATCAAGGAAGGAGAAAGCAACGATCCTTTTTCTCTGCATGTTTTTCTACTGCTGATCAGCACAAAATGTTGTTATTTGGAGATTTTCTAGTAGCTCTCCAGCCTGCATAATGCCACCATTCACAAGCTTCTAATGGGAGAAAGAGCAAGTGTGCCGATGCAGCCAGAGCTGCTAAATAGCCCATGTTGCTCAGGATGCCCTCGCCCTGGGCCACGCTAAGGGTGGAGGAACAGCAAAATCCTGTTCCAGGGTAGAGGAGGGCCCTCATGATGGAGGCATGTTGTTAACCCGTTGATTGTGAGAAGAACTAAAGTAGAGCAATCCAACTTAGGCATTAGATAGCATTTGGCAAACAGTGGTGGAAAAGATTACTGTATATTTAGCAATGGGAAGGTTGTAAATGGCTGCACCCTAGCTGCGTGGTCAAAGAAAATACAGCTGAGATTATAGCAAAAAGCCCAGCCCCTCAAAACTTGCATTTTCTTAGTACATGCTAGGCACTATCTTGAACTGATGCAAAAATCACCACATTTAATATATATTTTAAAAGATAAGCCAATAAAATGTAAATTCCATTCACAAAAATATGAAAGTCAAAATTACGATTTCCTTGCCAGCAATTATTCAGCTTACTACACTTGTGTAATATTTCATATAGCTTTGTATGATGTAAGTTTCCTTTATGATGTTGTGGTTTTTAATATATATGTATGTATGTATATGGTTTGAATTCATAATTTAGATGAGAATTGTAACGTGTATCTTCTAATCTCCTCGCAGTGGAAGTCACAATTCTTATTCCACGGTACAGTGCTCTGTGGCAATAGCTTATTTTCTTCGTGAAACTTACCTTACCAAAACCAGTAGCGATAGTATTTCTTTTATTGGAACAAATTTAAATGTGATGGTGTCATGATTATCACAAGTTCCCTCTTATTTAAAGGGATTATCAGGTATCAGATGCATGTTATTTTTGGTGGGTGATTTTTCACATACGTTATCACAGCTGAAACTCTCTCTGGTATATTGTTTTAGCAGCTTTTTATTATTTCCTCTTACCGTTATGGTTATGTAAAAATGGAAGCTGTTGTCTTTTAAATTTTCTTTCTCTTATCTGGTTCTCTTGTGTCTGTCCACACTGGGAATTGGAATAAGTGAATCATGTTTAATTTCTTTTAAATGCAGTTCAAGCAAAGTGAATTTGTCAGTTTATGCAGCTAGTGTAGACTGGGATAAATTGTATTTCAGTCTCACCTAGAAATTTACCCAATGTTTGAGCCTTGTGTGCATTTTATATTTTGTGGGTTTAGCATAGTTAGGTCTCATTACAGTCTTTTAAGGAGTACTTTTAGCAATATATAAGACAAGTTTAAACATAGTTCCCAAACTTGGTTTTGAAGCCAAAGTAAATGAGGTCTTGTAGTGCCACATTCCAGTGATTCTGACATCAGAGGAATATCTGCAGTAATAAATTTTTATATTAAAGTGGCTGAATTTTTATATGCCTGCAAGAAGCAAGACTGGGGTCTGACGTGGAGAAGCATTAAGCTAACCATTCAAGACACTAACAAATTTTTTCATGAAAACTTTTTCTTCCTCTGGAAAAAAAAGATGAAAAAGCACAATGCTTACAGTTTGACAAAAATCAAATGTTATTTTAAAAAAGGCTCAATAAAACTAGTTACTTAATTTTGTTTAGTGTTTTATTGTTGTTTCAGGTTTCTTGATACTCTGTGGAGATGTCTCTGTCTTTTTGTGAATTAGCATTAATAATTATCTGAGTGCTGACACGAAACAAATCAAAACCCCAAAATACTTTGAAATATTTGCACAAATGGACTTGTATCTAATGTATGTTGTAGACATTTGAATACAAAGCATTCAGTATTCATCACATTTGCAGCACTATTAGCAAACTTTTTTGAGATTTTTATTCTGGGAAAAATAATTAAAAAAAACTTGTAAAGGTTACAAACCTGATTCATACCAGGACACTGGATTAAGGCACAGATAGCAGAGCAGGACTGCCTCAACTTGGCCTTGTATGGCTGGGCTGAACTTTGCCAGCTAGAAAGACGGTTCGCTTTCTGCTGTTGGTGCCTCTCTCTGCGGTGGCAAGGAAAGACTGGGAAAAGCTGCCGATGAATTTGCACTCAGCTGTGTTTGAGCTGACCAGCTCTTTTGCCATCCCTTGATGTTAAGAGGAAGAAGGGTGTCTTACAATCCAGAGTACAATTTTTTTTCCTCATTGTTGTAACAACAATTACATGTTTTATAGTGCCAATTCTTTCAAATTTACAATTGAAGCGTCTTCATCTTGTTTTCTTTCAGATTCTTCTCATTCTTTTCATCGAGATGAGACTATAGTTATTGCCCTTGCATCTGTGTCTGTACTGGCTGTTTTGATTGCTGCTCTGTTCTTTGGATACAGAATGCTTGCAGGTAGGGTTTGACGATCCTTTTTTTTTTTTTTTTTTTTGTTCTTTTGACTGTTTCTCTCCCCAGTCCCTATTATATGTTTGTACATGATGCTTCCTTTTCTTCTCTCTGACACTTTATGGTCATAACAGTCCAGAGAGATTTATGATTTCTCCAAGCTGGCATTTTGGGACCCATTTTTCTTCAACAAATCCTCTGCTTAATAGAGTTTAAGTGAGGTTGTGAACGTGCTTTATAGTTTTGCCAGTGATATTCAATTATCAAAATAGTTGTGTAGCAGAGAGCCTTAAGTTTGTAGCTATCAGCACCTTCACTGCTGATTTTACTGACTGAGAAGATTTTACAGGATTCCTTTTGATTTGTTATGTCCTTGCCTACAATATGTCCTTCTGCCAAGTCCCAGGTAAGTTGTATTGTTTTCACTTATAGCATGGCAAAAAAAGGAAACGGTCTGATTCCCTCCCCACCCCCTTCCACAGGAGACCGTAAACAAGGTTTGCACAGTATGAATATGATGGAGGCAGCAGCATCAGAGCCCTCATTGGATCTGGATAATCTGAAGTTGTTGGAGGTAAATGTTCAACTCGGTTTCTTAATCTTCATTTTTATTCAATGTAACACTTGTGGTCATACCATCTCCCAGGTATAGTTACAGAAATAAATGTATCAGTGCTCCTGTAATGTTTTCTTCTAAATCACAGTTTAAAGAAGAAATTAAAAGAAAAAAAGAGGAAAAAAAAAGGTTACCGCAGTTACATTTTGCCTGGTTTTGTTAGTAATATTGTTGGTATTAGCTAGAGCATGTTCTACCTTGAGAAGAAAATACTGAACACTGGGAGGTAATGAGGGAAATTGGAATGTGCTGTATTTCAGCATTGCATCAAAAGATCCATATTTTTGCTTGACACTGATCACTTTAAGTACAGTATCCGATCATAGTCATTTGAAATGCTTTAGTAACACTATTGGCATATAGAATTTACTGCAGATAGGGCAGTATATTTCAGTAGTGGTGCATTTATGTGTAGTCATTCTTCACAATGGGGTACTCTCTATCTCCATGGCAACTAGAGGCCAACCAGAACTTTCTGCTCAGCTTGGTATTAGATGTATCATCAGAAAATTGCAAAATGTTATGCTTTCAATTGGTGTGCTTGATAGAACTTAAGGAATTTTTAAAAGCTTTTAGCCAGAAATAAATCAGTAGAATGACTGAGAGACATTCAGAGAGTGGTACTTCTCTTCTTTTTGCCCATTAGAAATCACACCTAGAGATGCAGACTGCAGACATGCAGTGTGGTCTGGGCTAATGGTGACAGCAGACTAATAAGCAAAGACGCTTGGGTCCCTTCTGCCAACAAAAAAGAACTTGAGGCAGAGCTTACAAGAGTATAAGGATGTGTATTGTAGAAGTGTGCAAAGCCCCAGATGAAATTACTCATACTGATATGCAGTCTTGGAAAAAGCAGCAGCTTTGTTGGTGGAGAGATCTGCTATGGGGTCTTCTGTCCTCTTTCTTAAATCCTAAGGAGCTGACTCCTCACCCCCAGTCATAGGGTGTTGCAGAACAAATTGTCTTAACCTGTGCTTGCCTTTTCACATCTCCGTGGGTAGAATATATTCCGGGTTTGTACCTTGAAGTGACTTGCTGCTGCTTTGCAGTCCACTGGCATGGAAGAACTGAGAAATAGAAAGTCTGTCTGGTAAAGGACACTTCATTGTTGGAAACTTTCCTGTTAGACAAGTTTATCATCTTTAGAAGCACTACTTTTGTAATCCCTTCTGCTTTCTGTTCCTTCTCCATTTGTAAGTTTTTAAAAAGTAAAAACGTACTGGTCCATGAAATCCTTAGTTTCACGTCTAGGTCTTCCTGAAAATTATTTGAATTAAATAGATACTTAAATTCTTACGTAGTTAGAATTTTTTGAGCTTTAGAAACTAGGACTCTTCCTGAAGGTGGTCATACGTTTTGGTTCAGAGCAGAGATCGCATCTTTCTTCAGTTGCCATGGAGATGGGAAAGGCCGTTCTGTGAAGACTGGCTAACATAGTGGGGGCTAGAATAAAGATTCACAGGTAGTAAGGAATTAATTATTTCTTTCTGTTAAAACCTGTTTACCTCTTTTGGTATCTATTTTGCACTACAAATGCATATATTGTTATTACTGACCTAAAAGGGTTATAAAGCTATCCTAAACCTAAAATGTTTAGCTTAATGTCTGTGATCTCTGGAGTTAATTAAAATTGATCACATAAAAGCTATAAATGTTTAGTAGGCAAAAGTTTAATAAGAGAATTAGCAGCCCAAAACACATGGATTTTATTGATTCTGTATATAAAACTGCTGAATAGATTATTTATGATTTATTTACTGGGTATTCAGACTATAGATCAATTTAGTAAGATCTAAGTTGGCCTGTGCTGAGGTTTCCAGCTCCAAAATAGCTTTTACTAATTGAAAACTAATTCTAGTTTTCAATACAAAATACTCACTGTATTCACTGTTTTTTATAGTGTAAGTCAGTATAAAAGTTGGCGTACAATCTTTGTGGAGTGAAAACTTTTGTCTTCTTTATTATCTTTATTATTTAGTGAACTACATATTTACATTTTTTTGCAGTTGATTGGCCGGGGGCGATACGGAGCAGTGTATAAAGGCTCCCTAGATGAACGTCCAGTTGCTGTGAAAGTATTTTCTTTTGCTAATCGTCAGAACTTTGTCAACGAGAGGAACATTTACAGGATTCCACTGATGGAACATGACAACATTGCCCGCTTCATTGTGGGGGACGAGAGATTCACTGCAGACGGCCGTATGGAATATTTATTGGTGATGGAATATTATCCCAATGTAAGTGCTTCAAAGAAATCAATCGCATTGGTTTAGATTCGTAAGAATAGCCACATAAAAAGGATGTACTTCAGTATTTGCCAGTGATTTTCATTGCTTCTTCTTGCACAGTAATGTAAAAATAATCCATATAAATTACAATTTTAATGAACCTTAGTGTGGTTTACTGTAATACCCTTTAAGATTTCCCAGTTAGTGCTATCAAATGTAGTCTTACAAATTCTTAGCTGTAGTATTTGCTCTTGGTTATGGTGCGGGTTTTTTTAGTCAACTGTGCAATATTCAAGGACAGAATTTGAAGAGTTGTTTTTACTTAAGAATAATTTAATAAATTTAAAACTTCCTAGTATTAAGGCATTATATCTCTGTTATGGTAGTTATGACCTCACTCGGTAGCTGTAAATGGTGGGGTTTTTTACAATGAAACATAATAGATCCAGTATTGTTGTCAAACTAGTTTGTGGTACTGTAAATCATGTTGGCTTTTTATCCTGTTATCTTCCTTAAAGCATTCTGTGGCATACCATATTTATTTTGCTCTACCATATATTGATGATGTCGGACAAGTCTTAAGAAGGCAACCTTACTTTCCAGAGCCATATCTTCAAATCTGCTTGGCTAACTGAATGCTTACATCCCTCAAATTCATTGATTTGAGTTTCTAACGCTCTGTGTGTGTGTGTGTGTGTGTGTACACATGCGTAGAAACTAAGATGTTTTAAAAATACACAGCATAAATGTGAATTGCTTTCATGAAAAATCATAAAATGTGATGTGTATGGGGGTTATATATATGAAAATGCAAAAAATTACGTTTCACAATTTATCTTGGGGTTTTTTTGCTTGTGTATGGGAAAGAACTTTAATTGTTCAGTTAAATAATTTTTTTAATGAGCTTTTTGGTCTCAAGTAAGCGAACTCATATTGTATTTCCTCCAGTGTGTAAAGGTGATGGCTGAAGCCTGATTTGTTATGGGGACAGTAGGACAAAAGCTGCTTATTCAAGTAGCAAAAAGAAACAAAACAGTAATAAATAGCAGTAATGATGGCCTGTCTTAGGGTGTTTTAGGCTCCACGTATATGCTTGTGTTGAAAGTTAAATGCATCCGTGTATATAAATGTCTAAATATATATGCAAATTTAAGGCAACATAGCACTTCACAAATATATAGAGAGTATCTTAACTGAAACTTTTAAGTGAGAACACACTTCATCATGTAAGCTTATAAGAGATGGGTATCTAAGAAGAGATTGCAGAGATTAGAAACGACCATAGAAAAAGCTCAGTCGTGCCCATACCAGATGGACAGTGGCAAAGCACGTCAGCTCTGGCCTGCTCTGGCAGAGTAGGCTTATTTTCAACTAATTGAGTTAAGTGAAATCAAGCGAGTATTCTGCTCCTGGGAGGGCATAGCATAACTGTCTTAACAGGAGATCTGGTTTTGCTGTTTTCTTGAATGAAAGGATTTTCAGCTGAAGTGTAATTTGATTGAAAATTGTGTCTTGTGGCTTATAAAAACAGGATCTGTTAATGATCTGATTAAATGCACAGATGAGGCTTATGACATCATATTACCAGATTCTTTCTCAATATGGTATTAAGAACAGCAAGATTAGTCTAAAATAAATCCACTGGTGGTTTGGAAGTCATTGGAAAAAGTGCACAGCACGTGTAATTAATGCAGTGTGATCCTTAATTCAGTGAGCAGATGTTGTGCTGTATGTGGACCAAACAGCAGAGAAGGAACCTTGCTGTGGCAGCCCTCCTAAAAGGGAATTGCACCGTTCAAACTGGAGCCATAAATCTTATTTCAATAAGGAGTAAGCCATACAAGATGTGCAGGTGAAATACTCCCCATCCAAAATGTCATTCTCCCTCGAAATATTTTCCTTCTTGGAAATAGGAACACACAAACCAGAATACTTTCAGACAGAAAATTGTTCTTGGTGTTGCCTTGGTGAAAGCAAGACAAATAGGTTTGACCCAAATTGTGTTGTTATCCAAACATGCCTTCAGACCAAAGGAGGTAGGTGAGCAAGTAATAAAAGGAAAGATACATGTATTTATCAATCAACATGCTGTTCTGATGGTACTCTGAGGTGTGGTAGGTGAATAAGCAGTGAGTAAGTTGCAAGGGATGACATAGTAGGAAATACATAATAGCCACAGAATTGTTCCCCCAGTCAGACATTCACATCTTTTTAGAACAATAGAAAAACTGTTGTAAAACACATAGTAGAGTCTTATGATTGTTAAAACAAAACCAACAATTTTATCAAAAGTTATAATCAGAACAAATGTCCCCAATTTAACGTGTAACTCATGACTCTGACGAGAATAATCTTAATTACAAATATATCTCTCTCTAAATCTTGACTAAAACTTTTCTTGGTTGTCATTTATATTGAACTTCACTAAAAGCATAAAACCACAGCCCTCAGCTAGCTTCAGAAATATCTGGTGGCTAGCAAGCTCTGCAGCAGAAAGATCTTGAAGTTGGTTTGAGGTCTTTATACAGTGAGTGTTTCCCAGTCACACCGTGACAACAGTCCTGTAGCCTCCGTTAGAACGGGCTGGAATCTCAACCCACTAAGCCAAGAAAACCTGTTACTGCACCCAGGTTGCTGGCAGTTGGAGGCTAATGAGAGTGTTTGTATTTCTTAAAAAGCTTTAAATAATAAGAAAAAAATGTAAAATTCTTTAACTCGTTTCTAGGTGGATTCTCAGCTTTTTTCCCCCTACCAAAATCTATTTGAAGTTCATATAACAGCATTTTAAACAATGGAAAAAAAATGCTTGTGTAAAAAAATGCTGTATGAGTGACATTTGTGTTTTGACCGAGGAGGTTATCTATTTATGGGTTCCTTGTTCTGCACAGTCTAAGTCTGAAAAGCTGCAAGACTTTTGTAATTCTATTAAGGAGCGTCAAGAACTTGGTATTAGTTTTAGCATTGGATTAAAAAAATGTGTAATGCTTTGGTCATTTTAAATTCTGGTATCTGTGTGCCTCCGTCTGAACTGTGCATGCGTTACATACCTGAATGTCGACTCCAAATGGACTCAAATGGCACATACCAGATTTTTTTGAACCAAATGTTGCATAACTAATTTTGCAATAAAGTGTTTTTAGTTGCAGCTATGATAAGATGTTACGCATTGGTGCACCTTTAAGATTACAGATTTAAATAGTCAAAAACACGGTAGTTTGTAGTCATAAATAAACATTATATTGTAAGATGTATGCAGAGACAGCTGGATGACTTGTTCTTCATGCGTGGGCATTTAGTTTGTTTAAACGGAGTATATTGTCACTGCTCAAAGGTGTCGTAGTTTGCAGGATTTGGCTCTTGTTTCAGATAGCAGTCTCGTTTTCTAGAATATCTCAGTATCATAATTGACACACTTCCTTCTGGTTTTCTTGGAGTTTGCACCACCAATTACTAAAAAATCCCCCATTTTTCACATTTAACTTCTCTTTCAAGAAAAGGGGAATGTGACATTCTTTTTTCCTGTTTCTTCAGTGCATGTGGACTCCTTTTCTGAGTCACCTTTGGGTTTTTTTTGTTTTGACATATAAGTAGATTATAGCAGGGGAGATGCCAGTGAGAGATGTTGAGGACTCTTCTGCAAGTGCTAATGATTTAAAGACCACTATTTAGTAACCCAGGCTATTATATCTGCAGTTACCTTTCTTCTTCTGTTGTTCAACAAGACTTTTTCAGAAGAATAAATCAAGTGCATGCTTTGCTTTTGTTTTATAAGTAGTATCATTATTCCTAAAGGCAATCCCTGTTACTTTGTGATAAATTTTCTTTTCCACTTCTTTAGATAAACCAAATGGCAGCACTAGAAATTAATGAAACTTTGGTTCAATCTTGTGTTTTAGAACATCTGGGTAAACACAATAGTAGTTGCAGGATTACACCTTTCAGGAGCAATGGATAAAACTGACTCTCCTAAAGATTTTGAGTTATTCAACTGGACAACGTTTTTAATCCAGTACTTACCTTTTTTTTTTTTTTTTTTTAAAGGGTTCTTTGTGCAAATATTTGAGTCTCCACACAAGTGACTGGGTGAGCTCCTGTCGTTTGGCACACTCTATAACGAGGGGCTTGGCGTACCTGCACACAGAGCTACCTCGAGGAGGTAAGGCCAGGAAGGGATGCCAAGATGTTGGAAGATACTCTTATTTCTATCAGGTAGTAGATTCCTGCCTTTCTTTTTTCTCTGTGACAGTATGGTGAGTAGGAAATGATGAATGCAGATAGAGATTACTCAGAACTTCTGATATGTTCTTTCCTTCTGAACAATCCCATGTTGTGAGCTGCGTCTGTGACGCTTGTATGAAAACGTGGAGTAAGAGCCAGCAGAGCCCCAGAGAAAGGCAAGAGGAGGAGGCGGAGTTGTACAGTGCTGCTGTATCATGGCAACAGATTACTGAAGACCTGAAGCACTGGATGTGTGTCTAGCACAGAGCAAACAGATGGGGTGTTCTATTTGTTTTTGCAGTTCAGACACAAATCACCAAAGCAATTTTTAGTTTGTGTGTGAATTGTATACGCAAAGAGAAATAATTAAATCTTCTAACTCCACTGTAGTTTTATTTATCGTATGTCTTGATGTTTGTCTGAGGGTGTGGGCCTAGTCTTCGCAGTGTACAAACGGTACTGCTGGACTTTTAGTGTTTTATTAGAGCACTGGATGTGACAACATATTGATTTACATCTTTATATCTCTGCTTGTGTGCTTCAGCCAGCATTTCAGCAGCTGAAGTATCATGATTATAAAGCAGATATTCTGAGATATGTGGTGTATCAGGCTGAAGAATAATGCCTGGCACTGGAGAGTTGGCAATAATTTTTGGCAATAATTTTTGGCAATAAATAAAAGGATGGTATCATTAATTCTACGTTAAGGTGCTAATGTTTGGATTAAAATTCAAAACTATATATATCAAATGTTAAGCATCAGTTCTAGCAAAGAATGACAACTGGAGATGCTGTTAAAAGTGCAAGGCTGAAAATACCTAAACCAGTATTCCTATGTGCCATTGAAACTGCAGCTATCATCTTAACTTCATCATTTCGAAATGTGCAGACAGGTGTGTCTATTCGCAGCCAGAAAATGTGTAAACCTTCCATCATAAAGAAGAGACAGCCATAGGCTGCTCTATGAATGCTAGGAAGGAACTCATGGAGTAGAATAATTTCCACAGTAAAACTGGTTCTATAGTGCTGGCTGCTTTACTGACAAAATAAATTGTATATGAACTAGCAATAACTGAGATTATTCTTTGGAAAAGATCAGGTCACTTGCAAGATGAACATGTTCAGACTCTCTAGAAAAATATTGTCTACATATCTTCTGAATAGGTGCAATCCCAATCATAGCATAAATAGTTGGTGCCCTATTTGACACGAGTGTGGATATGAGCGAGGCTGTCAGGGCTGTGGTAGCAGATCCGTGCTTAAGTACACGATGTCTCTCCTGCCAAAATCATGCTGAAATATCCCTTCAAAAGAAGCTTATTGGCAAACACTAAAACTGGATATAGCAGTAGCCTAATATATTGTATAGATACAGTGAAACTCTGAATGCCAGTCATTTTTCTATAGATAGCGTACGGTGGAGCTCATTATAAAGAGGCAAAAATGTTAGCTTTCTAAAAGATAAGCTGATTTTCTGCTTATAATAGCTGAGCAGACATAATGAGGTTCTCTCATTTTGCCAAACAGTAGAACTGCTCAAATAATAACAAGCACTTCCATGTGTCCAAATAGACCATTACAAACCTGCAATATCCCATCGTGACTTGAACAGCCGCAATGTACTGGTAAAGAATGATGGAACATGTGTAATTAGCGATTTTGGACTCTCCATGAAGTTAACTGGGAACAGACTTGTACGCCCAGGTGAGGAAGATAATGCAGCCATTAGTGAGGTAAGTAGAAATGAAGATAAACCAGTGTATAAAGGAAGACAAATTAGTATGGAAGTAACACTGAGAAATAATTGTTTCTGTTGTTACAAGGTGAATGTTAAGGTGGTACAATTCCTCTAAGGGGGAATTGCTGCAATGTGGGTGAGAAGTGGCTGAAACCTTGCTAGGAAGAAACTGGTTTTAGTCTCAAAACACTCGAAAACAAACCTAGCATTTTGAAAGGTGGTAGGTTGGCAGCCCTGGGAGACTGAAGTTTTCTGTGTGAGATATGAGAAGATGCAAGGTAGGTTTGGTTGCCATGTTGTTTGCAATGATGTGGTACAGGTCCCTTCAGTCTTATACTGCAAGTATTAACTGAAGGCCAAACATTCTTTGGCGGTTTTGGTGGGGTTTTTTTTCTGAAATGGTGACATACTGCATTCTGCATCCTACAACCATTTCGCTGTGTGTCATCTGCAATTTTCTGCACTTTAAATGGATACATCTCGGAGACTAAGTGCATGTAGAAAGATGTGGACCAACTGAGAAAGAACGGGGACAAAATAACAGGGGATGCTTATAGGAAAAGATGAAAGAATTAGGGTTATTTAGGGAAGGAAAGGCAGAGAGGGAAGGAAAGGCAGAGACAGGTCTTCAAATATGTAAACTGCTATGAAGTTCAGTGTGAGTAGGACAAGGGGTTACATTGTAGGAGGGAAAATTTAAGTTAGTTACAAAGAAACCTTTCTAATCTGTAGAAGGCAGCCAAGGTCTGGAATGGACTACTGAGGAAGCCTATATAGAATTTGCATCATTTTATGAATTTAAGGAACAGATTGGGAAAACATCTGCTAGGAGTGGGTTAGAATGGATTCTGGGCAGAAAGAAGAAACTGATTTCTTAAGCTTTCTTTTTTATGATGCTGTGATTCAGAGAGTAGTTTTTTTGTTGTTTTCTTTTTGTGTAAGCATAAATACACTGACACCTGAATATAGGCTACTGAAATACAGTGAGACTATTTTAAACAGAGTGAAAGTCCCTAATGGTTCAGTACATTTGTTGTCTTTGTGCTTTTACAGAAAACCTTTACATTTCATTCAAAGAATGTGTTTCGCAGTGCTAATCACCTTCCCTTAGAAAGCAAGTGCTACATTAATAATACCTAGTGTACAGGTCCTCTTTTTAGATCTCCCCTTACTGAAAAAAGAAACGGGGAAACCACTCTAAAATGCAGGGATATGGAATAGTTTTGTGACAAAATACTGTCCTACGAGTACTGATGAGTGATTGCTCTAATCTAACATATTTCTTAGTGGAAATGAACAGGTTCCTCCAAGGCTGTTAATAACCATTGACCATGGAAGATGTAGGGGAGAGCCTTGCTGAAAGTCCAGGAATAAAGAGAACAAGTTCCTTGTTCAGCAGCATCCTCTTCCATTACGATACATACCTTGGTGTTTAACAGAGTAATTTCAGGAAAAAGAAACATTTCTGCTGTATCGTATTGCATATGAGAACATTGAGTAAGGGACAAAATTATTTTGTTTGGGTACATGCAAAAAAGTGACAGAGTAGGGGAAGGGTTTTGTTATGACTAGGCTCCTATTAAGAGTCTAGAAGCTGAGGACATTGATTAGAAGAGAACTGCATTTTCCTTAACTGTAGAAAATATCAAACAAAGTGTTTTGTATTAAAAAAAAAAATCTCCATAATAAATTGAATTTATAAACTGCTTTCTGATTTGAAGCTTTGATTTTGTTTTTCCAGGTTGGTACGATCCGTTATATGGCCCCAGAAGTGCTTGAAGGAGCAGTGAACTTGAGGGACTGTGAATCTGCTTTGAAACAAGTAGATATGTATGCGCTAGGCCTTATCTACTGGGAGATATTTATGAGATGTACAGACCTCTTCCCAGGTAACTAAAAGAACTGGAAAAAACATAAGTAGTAGAAAGTGGTACCAGCAACCAAAGCTACTCCCTAGTGATAGCTTTTTAAAGTGAAGAAGGGAAATAATTTTCTCAATGGTTTTTGCCATTAAGTCGGTGCCATCTAGCGTTCAAGATGATTGTTGTCAATACAGTGTATTTGAGTGTGAAGCATGGTTCATGCTGAAAGACTTTAAATTACCTGTTTAAGCAGTTTGCAGGCCTCGTGGTAAGTGCAATTTGAGCATTATTATTATTGTCCGGAGTTTACAAATATTGAGAGTCGGGCTGATGGCAAAGGCAGTACTTTTAGTTCTTAGAACTGATAGAAGTGCCTGAAGTGTCTTTCAGACTTTCCTCATGAAAGAATGGCAGTGCTCTGATTTAATGTAGCCTTTCGTCAGTCGCACCATCTATGCTAGTGCCATTGAAAATTCAGGGAAATCCTCTATACCTATAACATAAACCAAGAGGAAGTAGACTTCTAAAGTTTAACACGTGAGATTGTGTCACAACCACTATCATCTTCCCAAGATACAGCATATAGAGTTAATCTGACATGCAGCATTCTCTCTAGTCAAACAGCTGCACTTCATGTACAGAGACTTGTAATCTCGCTGGGCTTCCTCCCAAATGAAGTACATGAATATATTCAGTCAGCGACGTTTCACAGAAATTAGGTGTCATCCTCAGGCTCTAAGACATGCTGAATGTGCCACTCAACCAGCAAAGTTTGAAGATGCTATCCTTTGAAAGGTTGCTGAACAACACTTAATTCATTTGCAGTTAATTCAGCTTTTTTTGTGACGTTAGACTTTGGGGGAAAGTGGAGAACATCTCAATAGACAGCAACTTTGATACTACCTTTCGTCACCTGAAAGCCCTTGCTCTGCCTTTTAATCTGTGATTTTTTTTCTTTCTTTTTTTTGCTAACAGGGGAATCTGTGCCAGAGTACCAGATGGCTTTCCAGACAGAAGTCGGAAACCATCCCACTTTTGAAGATATGCAAGTCTTGGTGTCTAGAGAGAAGCAAAGACCAAAATTCCCAGAAGCGTGGAAGGAAAACAGCCTGGTGAGATAGAATATTTTCAAAGAAACAATCATTTAACCAGCTATAGGGTGTACTCACTTCTTAAAAGCAATTTTTGAATACGTTCTTTTTTTTAATTTTTTGTTAGTATTTAAGGATTGGGAGCTGCTTCTGTCTGGACTTCTTAAATATTGAATTCAGTTTTTAAAAAGCCATTGACATGAAAGCTAGATTTCTTTCAAGGAAAAATACTATGATTATTACCGGATGCTGAAGTGTGATACACAGAAGATAACTTGTTATATTAATTGTTAGACAGTATCTGTAGTATTATGGATGAAGTGCCCATATGTTCTCTGTATGCTGGATGAGAAACATAAAGGCATTTTCTGTCTTTCGACATCCTGTAAACTAATAACACCCTAAAATAGTTGGCAAAAATGTAAAGATACTCTTCAAAACTAAAATCTATAAACATCGTAATAAACTTTTTCTGAAGTTGTATAGTCCTCAGAATTTGCAGAGGCTACAGCTTCTAGCAATCATTTCATTATAACTACATTAGAAATTTTATATGGCTTCATTTGATCTGCAATTTTTATTTTTAAGACTATAAACATAGTTATGTTGTTTGTTGTTTTGAAGTAGTATAGCTATGGCTTATAGCCTTGCTTGCTGCTGCAGGCCAACAAGTTATGGCAAGTCAGCTGAACTCTGGTAAGAGTCTGTGTGCTTGCTTTCATCTGCGGCAAGATGAGGTAATGCGAATCCCCTTAGTGGGGGTTGTTTGTCTTTTATTACAAGCAAAGTGAAATGCAGTTACTGGGTTCCACCTGATACATAGTAACTTGTTTAAGCTAAAATAGCTTGATTGCGAATATGAAAATTACATATTTGGCTCTTATTTTAAACAACACTTCTAGTTATTCACTTACTGAAATTATGCCCTTCAATCTTCAGAGACTTTGCTAGTTGATAAGTATGTAGCTACTGTGCAGATAATGGGGAGCCTAAGGCCTCATCTATGCTGGTACTTGTAAATATGTATGAAACCATTTTCAGAGAGGAGCATAGCCTCCAGTATTAACACTGTCGTAAAACATGTTGTAACTGAGTTGAGAGCTTCATAGAGAGGTTCCTTTATTACACAGTTTTGGCCAGGCAGTCTTGGGGGGTGGGGGGAGGAGGGAGGAATCCACACCCAAACTATATAGGAAATCAAGCAGCAACTGTTTTAACTACAGCCATGTTGACAAATGCAGTGTTGGAAGAACCAAGCTTGACAGCTGTTTTTGAAGACAGTTATAACTAGAACAGTTCAAGAAGGTTTGTTTTGTTTTGCAGACTACTGTTTTAAATGTTAATTATGTTCTAACAAGCTGATAGACTCCAGCATTATTAGATACTGAGCTAGTAATGATCCCTGTATTTGAAATGCCTAACACATTCTTTGTGTTGTCACTAATTTTTTTGCAAAAATACAAAATAATAATGATAATTATCATATTAAGTCCAGCTCTAAGGATGGATCTACACCATTGCTTTAAGAGAAAAGAGGACTAAATAAACAATCTGTAGTTCTGTCATGGGTATCAAACAAGCTTCTCCATCCTACGGCAGTCTAGGATAACATCTGAGTGAGCACTTTAGGGGAGATACTGTAGAAAACTAAGCTCCAGATAACCTCATCCTGGTTCTCTGGTCCTAACCTCCTATATCTAATGCGTGGGATAAAAGACTTTTGTCTGTTATTTGAAGCTATGCTGACATGTTGGGTTGTAACACTTTCATGCAAATTCATCTATTAGAGAAATGTATTTGCCCTTTTCATTTGAGAAACACAAATAAAAAGCAGTGTTTTATTTTTTAGGTCATATAATTAAGGCACTCAAAAGATGTGGAATCCTAAACTTATGATTACTTATGCAGTCTCAGTTTGCTTCTTGAACATATGCGTTATGATACAGACCTTGATTAGCAGTATTGTTTTTCACGGTATAAATCAACAATCTGAGCAGATGATGTGCATAAACTAATTCAAGGGCTATAAACTGAGTTGAGATGTCAGCAGCGTTCTTGTCTCATTTGCCAAAGCAGGGGCCCAAGCTTGACTTCAAAGGTCAGGACTGAAAGATATTAATAGAGTAATAGAATAATGCAGATTTCCTGTTCCTTCTATCTTTTTTATGAGTGCTAGAACTTCTAAATAGTGCATTTTAGTACAGATCTCTTTGAACCTGAAATTAATAGAAAACACATTGCTGTGGTAAATGTGAAGGTCTAGAACTTCAGTTTTGTTAACTATCTACACAGTCATCACTGTGCTCCTTTCACGATCCTTAAAACATCAAAAGGAAAGGATCTGCCAGAAGAGAGACAATATTAAGTTAAACACTGGTTAAATTTACTGCTGGTGAAACCTGTAGGGGAAAGTCTTACAAAGGGGCAAGACAGGAGAGTAGGGCATCCACTGACTTAGATACGTCTAAATTGTGACTGAATCAAGTCCTAAAAGCCAAATGAAGGCTTTTTATTCTGGGAGAGAAAACAGATCCAGTACACTATCCTGTCATTGTCCCTGAGGGTGCTTTTAGACTCATGTCCCTCAGCTAAGAGGGGTGTAGTTGCTTAAACCTTCTTCGATGTACTGTGGGAAGAGAGATAAAAGGTTTGCTTCTGTGGGAGCTCATCCCCACCTGTGCAGCCGTAGCTGCATCACTAAGCAGCAGTGACTTGCCAGATGCAAGCGATGCCAGGAGCCCGCTCTGTGGGTGAGGAGCTCTTGGCTGGCTTGCAGAGCTAGTCCTTGACTTTCACTGCCAGAAGCGAACAAGGCAGTTCTGGCACAGAGGCAGTCAGCAGGAGCACTCAATGCCTTAGTGCCCAGCTGGGACTATGCACAGTCATTGGTGCTGGAGAGGTTAAAGCTGGGCTGTAGATGTGAGATGTTCTGGCAAACCATATCCTATCCATGGGCCATTGGCAGCAGGGGCCAATAAACGTCTGCCTGTTTTTTGTACTCCGGATGCAGTGGAAGCAGAAGTGTTCAGTGCTCGTAATTTCAGTTGCCTCCTCTCCATGTCTCTGACCATATGGCAGCACATTTTGGAGGTCTTGAGCTCTAATCCTGACTGTACCATTCAGCCCACAGTGTGATCCCAGGAAAGTGTGTCTGTTTCTGTTTCTCCATCTGTAAAACAAGGGCAGCAATAATCTCATTCCATAGTGCAGGCGAATTCACTGATATTTATGAGGCATTTGGATGTTACAGTAGTGAACAGAAGAGGAAAAGCATGATGAAATGAGCAAGGCTGTGTTATTTGCATACAGTGCAGGGAAGCAAAGCAGGGACCATTAGCTGAATTGTGAGGATAACAATGACAGCATTTCCAGAATATCATCAGTCCTTAGTACACAGCTTTCATAAGGCAGGGAGAGTGAGCTGAGCATGCATACATCAGACAGGGCTGGCTGAAGGTGTTATGGACAATGGTGAATGTAGCTTTTCCTAAATAATTGTCTTCCTAGTTGTTGTGTGTGTAAGTTATTACAATATTAGTCCTGCATACTGCTGTTATTAGGGTAAACTAGCTTTGAATGAAATTGTTTCTCTTCCATTTCTCTTTCTCACCAGCGTGTGACTATTTTCATGCATACAGAATGCTGTCATAAAACAGTAAATTAGAAGCACAATATAAAGGAAAAATAACTTAAGATAAAGGGGTTTTGTTTGTTTGTCTCCTGGCAGGCTGTGAGGTCACTTAAAGAAACAATTGAAGACTGTTGGGATCAAGATGCTGAAGCTCGACTAACAGCGCAGTGTGCTGAGGAGAGGATGGCAGAACTCATGATGATTTGGGAGAGAAATAAATCAGTTAGTCCAACGGTCAACCCTATGTCAACTGCCATGCAAAATGAGCGGTAAGAAGAGAAAACATTTGGTTTTAGTCAGCAGCAAATGCCCAATGCAATGCTCAGCTCACTCCAGGAAGGAAGCTAGAGCACGCTGCTAGCTTAACATTTTTGCATCCATGAAGTGGGTGTGTGTTACGTGAGCTAGTCTGCATATGGGTATTTTATGACATGATCCTGATTGCTTGTGTTCTTAAGATCTCCTATGTGTCCCCAGAATTCAGGCACCTTTTATGTAAACAACTGTACTTCTCACAGAGGGGCCTTTTAAACTGAACTTAGGCACACTGTCCAAACAGGCTTACAAAGATATGAAGTGATTATGAATTGTCTTTTAAAGACTCTTGCTAAGTGATGCATAAAACTTCTGTTTAAAATGTTCTTATAAAAACTGTGAATTTGCAGGCAATATGAGTTCAGGAAATCACAGAGTCTCAAACCTGTAGTTTTTCAGTTAAAGAACCGCAGGGCCATCATTTAAGTCCTCGTTATTCTGAGCCCAGTGAGAGAGGTGCTGTGCATTCTCTGTTTATAAATGATCCAGAGCAAGTGAGAATTTGCAGAACTGACATTAGTGCTTAATAGTATACACTAGAGATGTGGATTTCAGAGAAGAGTAATGTTGCTGTATGGGCAGTGTTTACTGTAATGAAAAAAATTATGTTTAAATGATAGAATACCTAAATTGTTAAAATAATAGATTTTTCATGGTTTAGGACCTTGTGACTTTTTCCCAGCATCGCTTTCTCCATCTTGTATGTTGAGTTCTTGTTGCCTTCCTTCAGCATCACTTCTCTGCAACTAGAGCAGTGCTTTAGCAGTGAACTGGACAAACAGCATATTGGACAAATAGAAGAAAATTACTGTTATCCGACTTAGTTGTAGAAATAACATCCATGACAAAATTGCTGTCCTAGTAAAACGAATTTTCTGCTACCCAGGATTTTTCAAGGAAGTTACTGAAAGATCTCAGTTTGTACTGTATCTGTCCTTAGTTTATGCATGTAAAAGAAACAGAAAGACATTCAGCTCTCTTAAATGAGAGGCTTTATAATATCAGGTGATTTTTACATATATGATCTTAACATCACTTATTTTTTCTTAAAGGAATCTGTCGCATCATAGGCGTGTATCAAAGATAAGGCCATATCCAGATTACTCTTCCTCTTCCTACATTGAAGATTCAATCCACCACACTGACAGCATAGTGAAGAACATTTCTTCTGAACATTCAATGTCCACTACACCATTGACTTCAGGGGAAAAGAATAGAAACTCCATTAACTACGAGCGGCAACAAGCGCAAGCTCGCATCCCTAGTCCTGAGACAAGTGTCACCAGTTTGTCCACCAATACTACCACCACCAATACAACTGGCCTCACTCCTGGCACTGGCATGACCACCATATCTGAAATGCCTTATTCAGATGAAACAAACTTACATACCACAAATGTCATGCAGCCAGGTGGGCCCACCCCTGTTTGTCTGCAGCTAACAGAGGAGGACTTGGAGACAAATAAATTGGATCCAAAAGAAGTGGATAAGAACCTAAAAGAAAGCTCTGATGAGAATCTGATGGAACATTCACTTAAGCAGTTTAGTGGGCCAGATCCACTCAGCAGCACTAGTTCCAGCTTGCTTTATCCGCTGATAAAACTTGCAGTAGAGGTGACAGGACAACAGGACTTCACACAAGCTGGCAATGGTCAAGCATGTTTGATTCCGGATGTCCCATCTGCTCAGGTCTATCCTCTACCCAAGCAACAGAACCTACCGAAGAGGCCTACTAGCCTCCCCCTAAACACCAAAAATTCAACAAAGGAGCCACGGTTAAAATTTGGTGGCAAGCACAAATCAAACTTGAAGCAAGTGGAAACAGGCGTTGCCAAGATGAACACTATCAATGCTGCAGAACCTCATGTTGTGACAGTTACCATGAACGGAGTGGCTGGGAGAAGCCACAGCATAAACTCTCATGCTGGCACAACCCAGTATGCCAATGGGACAGTGCCATCTGGACAGACAACCAGTTCGGTAGCGCAAAGGGCCCAGGAAATGCTTCAGAACCAGTTCAGTGGAGAGGATAGTCGGCTGAATATTAATTCAAGCCCTGATGAGCATGAACCCTTGTTGAGGCGGGAGCAGCAGGTTGGCCATGATGAAGGTGTTCTGGACCGCCTAGTAGACAGGAGAGAGCGACCACTGGATAATGGCCGAACAAATGCCAATAACAACAACAGTAATCCGTGTCCAGTGCAAGACACAGCTACAGTCAGTATCCCGAATGTAGCGAGAAATCCTGGGCAGACCCAGACTAGAAGAGCACAGAGGCCTAATTCGCTGGATCTATCCGCCACAAATAGTTTGGATAGCAGTAGTATGCAGTGTAAGTGCCTGCAGGACTTGAACAGCTTCCCTGACACTTTTTTACTTAATAACTACGTATATTTGCTTGAATAGAAAATACTTTTGTGTCTCCTGTCCCTCCTCAAAGCATACTTACTAAATCCCATATAAATTTAATTTCTATCAGCACAATTTCAGTCTTCTCAATAAAGTCCTGTCTCCATCAACTCCAACACGTTAGGTCATTATCTTCCTTCCACATACATGGAATAAATCTGTCCTTTATAACCTATCTACTCTGACTGTAGGAAGGGAGTATTTTCTAACTTTCATTATTCCTTGCAAGGCACCTACCTTGGCAGCTGTAAAGCATATTGAAAAAGCTTCCTATTTCTTCCTTGGGCAGAATGTGCCCATTATACCTTCTTTTCCTTACTTTTCCTCATTCTCTTAAGAGTAGCTGGCTCTAAGATGCATTGATTAACATAACTTATTATAATAACTACTTATATGCTTCATTACTTTTAAAGCAACTGATCTGACTGTATTAGCCCAGCCTAGACGGATGGTCAGGCATTCTCTGCTTTGCTATCTGAGCTCTAACAATTACAGCAATCCTTCATCAATTTACCATGTACCTATCAAAAATTAATCAAAGCACTTAGAGAAGGAATTGATTTTAATAGACTCTTTCAGAATAACTGCCTTAAGAGTTTTACAGCCAAAGATTTAAGAGGTTACAATGGAGCTCTCTTTTTTACAGTAAGAATGTAATCATGTAGTTAAATTAGGTACATCCTCTGAGTTTGTCTTTGGGCCTGTTGGAGCTGTTGGAAAGGCTTCCTAGTGTGCACTTTTAAGAGAATATATTTCCAGAATGCACTGTAGTCTTTGAAAGGTGCTTGCAAACTTCCGACTATGTGATACTAGTGAAATAATCTGGGGTGCCAGGCATGTTTGGAAAGAAAAGGTTTAGAAACAAACCAGAATAGATCTTTCAAGAAACGTAGTTGAATATTCAGCAGTGGAATGTTTAAGCCTTCCTTTTAAGTAGGAAACCTTAATTTTTGTCTTAACATGTTGACTTGAGTTGAAATAGTCTTGAGGTAAAGAAAAAAGATTATTGCAGTAACTCCCTTTAATTGAAGTTTAAAAAGAAAGGGTTTGAAGGTTACGTAAAGTGAAAGTATTTTAACAATCAGATTTCTACTGCTGAAATTTTATCATGATTAAAGTTGGTTTTGCCAGTTTTGCAACCCAACATCCCAAATCCTGACTTAGGATCTTAACAGAGAAATGGACTGTTTTGTCTCCAGGTGAAATGCTTTGCCAGGTGAAGTAGGATTAGGGGACCTATGACTTAATTATGCTATTAAAAGTTTAGCCTTTGCCATCCTGTAGTAGCGACTCTTTTTTTGTACCTCCCATTACAGGTAATATAAGGTACTATGATTGCAAAAGCCCCTCAAATGTCAAATGCTGATTCTGCTGTTTGATGCCCATGTGCATTCAAGGTAACACAAATTACTTCACTGAAGTAATTTCTGACAGACAACAGAATCTGACCCCTTGTTTTAGTGGCGGCTACTGTAGTTGATATACCTGCCATGTCTCTGCCACACAGTTGCTTTTGTGTCAAGATTTTGTTCTTTTGTTCTGTTTTGCATGAGTAATAACCCTGGACTCTCCAGTCTAATCTTATCTTCCTCGTAATACTATTTTCTACTCTGTTTTTGTTTTTTGTTTTTGTTTTTTTCCTTCAGTAGGTGACTCCTCACAGGATGGCAAATCAGGCTCAGGAGAAAAGATCAAGAAACGTGTGAAAACTCCGTACTCACTTAAGCGGTGGCGTCCTTCAACGTGGGTCATCTCCACCGAGCCGCTGCACTGCGAGGTCAACAATAACGGCAGTGACCGGGCAGTCCACTCCAAATCCAGCACTGCTGTTTACCTTGCGGAAGGAGGCACTGCCACCACAATGGTATCTAAGGACGCAGGAGTGAACTGCCTGTGAAATACTTTAAAAGCCGACAAATGACCTTTTTTTTGCATTATTTGAAACAAACATGCAGAAGACATTTTAAAAAACTGCTTTCTCCTCCTGTCAGCAACCCCTACCAAGGACTCGCTTTAAATAGATTTCAGCTATGCAGAAAATTTTTAGCTTATGCTTCCATATTTTTTTATTTTGTTTTATTTTTTGAATGTTTTTGCACTTTTATTTAGTATCGCTAAAGTTAAGTCTGTCTGTTTTGACCACGGAATATATATATGTGTATCAAAATGTGGTCTCAAAATATTTTTTTAAAAAAAGTAACAAAAAAAAGTATTGCTGATAATCAGTTTGGACCAGTTTCTTAAGGTCACTAAGATCATAAGCAGACTATAAGACAGGTTTGACTGCAGTGGTGTCTTGTAACCATGTTTTGATTTCTGTGCACAAGCTAGTCTGTATATTTCTATGTTACAAAGTGTATTCTCTTTTGAACCCCCTATTTTTCTTGTGTCATGTTGAAATGTGCAATAGTCTATAGTTCACAGTATGCTTTATTGAAAAGTGTGTTTCTAAAACTGCCACATGTTCCCCTTTTTGTATTTGTTAATTTTTCCCTGACAGTTGAGCAGTCAGCCGGTCATGACAGTGAACTTTGCACACCGTAGCCAGCTTGAAGCAGCTGCCTATGTCACATTGTGCTCTGGGGTGACAATGCATGAATTTTCCCCAACTTGAAAGGGCTTTTAAAAAGGAACAAAAAAAAATCTGAGCTCAGTACCTTTCCTTTGATCCTTCCAAATCAAAATGTGTTTCCTTTATAGTAATAGATGCCAGCCTGTGAAGTTCTGAATAACAAATCGTTGAACTAATGTAAGGAAACAATGTCAGCCATTTTTTCCATTTTATTTTGTGTGCAGTTTCACCCCCGTATTTATGTGAAACCTTATTTAGATCACTAATGATGTACATTGAAAAATACATTTTATTCAGAAATCTTAATAACTGTCATACTTAAAAGCTCTAGTGAAAATAGATTGTGAACGTATTTTGTTTACACAGAGGAAAAATCATGAATCTTATTTGGCACAAAACAGTTTTGTGATGAGTCACAAATCTTTCCTGATTTACCTCCTTACGGACAGTCTGGGGTAAAATCAGCCTGATTACTTATGCAGGTAGGTGCATCCTAATTGACTGTTGTTGCTGAGTTGAGTTGAAACTCTTCCTCCCTTCAGAGTTTTTAGAGCCCCTCATTCATCTTGTTAAAATTTACTGCATGCTTTTAAAATTCATGGTTATGAGTGTTTGCGGGGGAGGGTTGGGGTTTTTTCTCTCTGCTTAGACCCTTCTTTCAGTTTGTATACTCATTGATTTTAGGTGTCAGTGAACATGAATGTAATATCTATTGAGATAAATTGTTTTTTCACCATCTCAAGTAAACCTGACCTTTTTTTAGAATGATTGTTTTTACTGTCTATTGAAAGAAAATTAATTTCCTTATTGTTCAGGACTGCCTTCCGCCTAAGAAATACCCTTCCACCTGAGAAATATTCTTTCTGATTGAAAACGCTTCAGTAAAACTATTTAGATAAAAAAGATGTAACACATGTCAGTCTTTGGTACTGAGTAAAGTTTTATCACTGTGTCTGAAAACCGGTGATGTTCAAAGAAAGAAAATCTATTCCGTCAGCCTGCCAAACTCCTGTGGCAGGATACTGGCGGCAAACAATTGCCTCCCCCAGCCTGTCTCCTTTCAGCTGACTGAAACAGATGCTCTGTGCTTTCAAACTCATTTGTTTCCTTGCCGTTATATTATTTTTTCCCCCCTGAGGTAAACTTTGCCAACCCTGTTCTTCTCTATCTGATGATACAACTAGCATAATATATGCCTTGCTACATCTGATTCTTGCTGTTTCCCAAACTCCCTTGTTTATGCTTGATTGCTATGATTTTCTCTTGTAATGCTTCTTAATGTTTCTTAGATTCTCCTAGGTATCTCCAAGAGATAACTCTATAAATCCAGACTTTGATTGAGTGTAGTTGTAGAAATACAAGCCATGAGACACATTTTGGGCTCCCTGTGTTCTTCAAGCACCAGTTCAAGCAGTACCTTTCGTCTCCGAGGCGTAATTCTGTTATCCGCCTGTATAAATACAGAGTTATATCTCCCTTCTTCAAAAATACAGCCTTTCTCTGGTTTTACTTTTAATTTGGTCTCTGGCTTCCCATCTGCTGCAATCTTGCATCCCAGATGTTGAAAACCTGCCAGTTGCTCAGCTGGGTTTCAAGACCTGAATGAGAATTTTTGGCATTCTGTTCATAATGCTGGCTGTGGTTTTCTTCTCTTTTGGCCTTCTTTGACTCTCCATTTGAAGTACGGTATGTTGTTTTGTGATGATCGCTGTATCATGCATACTGAAGAATCTTCACTCCTTTCCCAATGACTTTTTGCTTTGCCTTGCATGTATCATCCATCAACATTTCAGAATGTGGGCTGAAAAGCGTATTTAGGACACTCTTATCTAACTTGAAACACTCTGGGGACAGAAAAGTTATTTGCTCTGACTACTGCTTCTTTCTGCTAAGACAGATTTGCACCAGTCTTCTAGCCTTTCTTTTCAGGCCAATCCTTTGTAAGAAGTCCAACTTTTTTATGCTCAATGCAATCAAAATCACTTTAATACCAGATGAAAATGTTCTTCTGCAGTTTTCCTTAAACATTCTTAAAGCAAACATAATAGTTTCTTTTCCTTTATCTATTTCTATCACTTGCTGGAAGGCCTTTGGGATGAATTTGCATTAGTAGAAAGTATTGGCTTTGTAATCTACCATGGATAAATATAATTTGTAACATGATAGAAATATGTACTTTATCACAAAATACCCTACAGATTAAATAGAGAAAAAATATTTATTTTTAAAGGTCAGTCAAAACAAACTGGTACCAAAATATTGTAATTCTGCACAGCTAGATGAGATCAGATTAGCAGTTTGGTTTTAATGCTTAATTTAGTAATGCCTTTTTTTTGCTCACAGCACATAATCCAATCTCCACAGAATACTTTCTCTGTAAATTAAATGATACTGAATTGTATCTCATACCACGGGGAATCATCCTTAACCAAACGAAATACATGTAAGAGAGAGAATTCTACAGATCAGACGCATGGATAGTTGATAAATGTACTATAATCAGGGGAGACAAATGTGGTTTATTTCTTTGTGGGTTTTTTTTTGGTTTTGTTTTTTTAAGAAAAACGGATAATAATGAAAGTTGATAATTTTCTATCAATTTCTCTTGTATATTGCAGACAAGATAAATATAGCAAAATGAAAATAGAATGATAGTGTAAATACCTATGAATTGTGCCATTGTCAAATAGGCAACAGTAGAATATTTGCTATGGTAATTTATAATGTATAATTCAAGAAAAATGTTAGAGCAAACATTTGTGATGTTTGTATATATAAGCCAAAATCCAAAATCTTACTGGTTTTAGAAAATGACGTGCTAGTAGAAGCCAGAAGAATTGCTTAGGCTAATGCATTGTCTCTTTTTCCGTTTCCTATAATAGAGATACTCACCAACATAATATAGTTTTTAGAATGTGAATTTTAACCATTTGAACAGACATGCCTCATAGTCAGATTTATTTTCTTCTGAAATTTGTATTTACAAGTCAGATTATCTGCAACACTTCCCCTGCATTTGCTTATAATGTTCTATAGCTTCATGTGCTAAAAAATTAGTATTAAAAATGCCTTTCTTGAAACTCCAAGATGCACTTAAATTGCACAGCTAAAGGTAAAGGAATTCCTAATTTAAAAGAAAACCAATTGATATTGCCATCGTTAGAATGTTCTGAGAAAGAAAGAACATCTCTGTGTTTTGCTTTCTTACTGCCGTTCATTTGTGTCTTGTTTCCATATAGAAAATTACCTAATTTTCAAAGGCAACACAGTTTCATTTTTTTCAGTGCACTGGGGACAAGAAACAATGCAAGACGGATGCTGGCAGGTTTCAGGAAACAAACAAACAAACAAACAAAAACCCACCTGATAAATATTTTTAGAAAGTACGTATCTTCCCACCTGTCTACTTTCTCTAAAAGAAATCTTTAATCCTACCTGCCTCAGAAAGGAGAATAAGGAATTCTGTATTTGCATGGAATAGATTTTTGGCCAAATTTAATAATAATGAATTGTTACTTAAAAAATAAATATGTGTACATTGTATATGCCATAGTTTCAGTGTTCAGTGCATTTTGCTCTAATGATATTCCTTTTTTAAATGTTAAAAAAAAAGTCCACTAATACAACATTACTAAGTCTATGTTCAGATTATAATTTTCTTTCATGAAAATATTCAAAAGATCATAGCCATTCTGCCATTGAAACGTTATTATGGACAGTTCCAGCCCAAATAGGGAGAATTTTAAAATTCACATATTTAGTCAATACAGGAGAAATTAATTATGCTGTAATTTTTACTTGTATAAAAGTGATGGCAGTTCCCATTGCTGAAACAGGCTGGTTTTAAGTCATAAAAGTAATAATTGCCAAGCACAGTAGCATATACATGACCTGATTTCTAACTGGAAAATTTAGAGCAGCTTATCACAGAAAATTGAAATAGGATTGATTAGTCTATGAAAGTTGGATTATAGACTGGACAACTTAGTATTTTGCATAAATTTGGTTTATTTGAATTTTTCTGTCGGTCTCCCGCTATCCATTTTAACAGGTAAATATATTAACCTCCTTTTTTAATCTGCTTACTATTTTTTGTTCAACTTTAAGCCTTTCTTCCGTGAAAAAGCTATACATATTGCAGTGAAGCCAAACACGTATTTTTTATGTAAACTCTCTATGTATTTAGATGCATATCTATGTTGTGCATAAATTCCAGGATTAAATTCTGTGAGTTACAGCATCAGATGGTAGCACTGGTAGCAAGTATAATGTTCTTTTTCATATGCCATTTTTAAGTTGTCTTTAGTGCATCACAGTAGAATTGGGATCAGACTGTGACATGTGATCCAGTAGTGTAAGATCTCCCATGACAGACTTGTCACTGATTGTTTAGGTGGAATGGATTTATGAGAGAGAGAGAGAACGCTGGGAATGCACATGACAAACTGTACCTGAAGCTGAGTAATTTCAGAGGTACCTCTCTTAAAGATCAAAAAATAATCCAAAATACTTAATACATTATAATTTTTACAAGGCTTTTTATGTAGTAGCTATAGTTATGTGTGTGGTTGCCATTTAAACATAATATTTTAGTCCATTGAATCCAATTACATTTTAGGCTTCTATATTGTCATATAAAACTGTAGCTGTAGAAATACATCCCTTTTTTGATCCCCCCCTTCCCCTCCTCCAAGCAGGTTCAGTTTTGATATGAAATAGTAACAAATCAGATTTCTCATTTTGAGCTTTCTTCTGTACTGACTAAAATTGGTAGCAGAACTTCCACTTCCGCAGATCACAGATTTAGGCACTCCTGCGAATCAAAATGGGAGTTAGGTTTGGCACGAGCGTACCTGAGGAAATCAACATCTAATCGGCTAGCGCTTGAGCCTGCCATTGATTATGAGCAAAGGAGGGTTGGGTTCTGCTGGCACTGATTTTAAAAATTTCTTGGGAGGATTAGCCCTGGGAAAGCTAAGGTGGCTACTGACGTCTTGAGGGGTGTTGGCTGATGCCTCGGTTCAGGCTGTCAGGCTAGGTCAGGACCAGTGCAGCTGTGGTTATCGTC